CTCTTTCTGTTAACTCCAAAGAAAAAAATTTTAGATCACCCACTCATAATTGTGCCACAACTTAAGGATGAGGGTGAATAATTCATGTTGCAAAAAAAAAATCCCAAGAGTGATCTCTTTGCTCATTATTTTATCAGTAAATTTATATCAAACCTCTTTATCTAAGAAATAAATAGCAGGGGATGGGAGCTTCTACATTCTAGAGGAGGAACTGGTGTTTCTATTAGTGGGTGTGGTGGGTAAATGGGGAGGAGCAACAATGATCATAGGGAACCTAAGGGGAGAATAAATCTGGTTCTATGGTCCTGAGTAGACACTGTGAATATGTCACTACTCAACTAGCAGTCAACTGCACCATGGACTGGGCACTATGATGGCCTTAGCATCCCCCAAGGGCCAGACCAGAAGGAGTCCATGTGGAAGCCTGACTGAACAAACTGGGCCTTACCTCAAAATTACTTAGACCCTTGAATTTAGGACTGAAATACCCTGATGGCAGAGGATGCAAGGGATGGCCATCCCAAAGAAGAAGACCCAGAACCACCATTTAGTTGGTCCCTCAATGCTCCACTGGCCTTAATATGACAAGTTAGGCCTGAGACACAAGGGTCTACATTTATGAAAGATGATACAGGAAATTTTCCCCTAGCACCAATCCCCATGCTCAATGTAAACAGAGCTCAATCAGTTAATAAATCAGTTTGTACAAAGCAGCAATTGATGGATTGCAGGTTTCAGTTGGACTCACATAAACCCCTAATAACAACAGTACCTTAAATTTTATGTGATTGGATAAATTACTGGTGTTATCAATGCAATCACATTATACACTAGGGATAATTGACAATGTTTTCCTATTTGTTTTCTTTTGTTTTTTGTTTTGTTTCTTTGTTTTATAGGTTGCTGTTGTTGATGACAATGATCTTGTTAGTTCTGGTTTTGTTTGTTGTTTTTGTCATAATATGACCACCAAAGTAAACCAGAATCATTTACAATTGGGGACAAGCAGATAGATTCTGGGTTCCCACATAATTCTAGCCCCAATCTAAGAACAATTAGTTCTGATAACATGGCCCTACTCCATACTCACCTTCATGAAGAGATCACTGAAGATAAGGGTGCTACAGAAAGTGTAGGGAAGAAAGCAGATGGTGCCCAGCTATCAATTGGAATAGTGTCTGGGGGCTTAGAGGCTTGTATTCAAACAAGCAGTTATGAAAGTGAGGTGTCAACTAAGTTCTCACGGAAAACACATCAGCTTGTGTCATTCAAAGATGACAATAACAAAATTCAAATATGGTGAAAGCAAAAGTATCAGAGCTTACATTGTGAACAGCCAAAATGTAGCAGGCTACAGAGCCAAAATCCATCTAAAGACTATGTAGTCAGATTGAGCCTCTGGCATATCCCCTCTGGCCACAGGCAAAGATAGCTTTACTACCAGAGATCAGACAGAGATAATGGTAAACTTGATTATGGTCAATATGATATATGGTCAGTTGACCTCTCTCTTGACCCAGCCTGAATTTGCTCTATGCTCAGATTTTCTTGATTCTTCCAAGAAATAAATTTGTTCTCTAGCTTTCTTAATATCGCTGGTGAATTTTTCTTTATTTTTATCTTTTTATTATTATTGGTGCTGTCTTATTTCTGTTTTGTCCTGTTATTTTATTGTTTTGGTTATGTGTCCCAGATTAGGAAGCACAGAAGGACAGGATGCATAGAGACAATAACTGATGCAATGGTTTACCAGGAAGGGGGAGGGAAGGGGAAGGGGAATTGGCGAGCTATCAGTGGCTGTGAGAGTGGGGAGGGAGCACTAGAGCTGATTGAGATGATATATGTACAATTTTTTTAGAAGTGATTAACTATGGAAGTTTATGACATTTGAATATTATATTAAGAAAACTACTTATAAAAAATGAAAGAAAGAAAAGGGACCATAGGCACCATGGGTGAAGGAGAGAGAATTTTCACTCAGGGACATCAAGTTCATTTTAATGGTAGTGGAACAATTTGGAGAGGAATCACAATAATGGCAGTACAACACAAAGATAAGCAATGGTACTGAATTATACATGTAGAGGTTGTTGAATTGGTGAATGTTCTGTTGTGAAATTGTTGTGCCAAAATTTTCAAAAAAAATTACATGAATAACAATGAGTACAGGGAGAAAGAAAATGTTCTACACTTGATTGTGGTAAAGATTGTACAACTCTTCTTGGCGATGGTTGATCTGCTGAATTGTATGATGTGGATGAAGCACCAATAAAACTGTTCTGGAAAAAGAAAGAAATAGTTCCCTATAATAACACTCAAGAGGCTTAGTGGCACATGGGCTGCTAGCCAGTTGGTGCAGGTTGGTGTTTCAAAGTCACCAGCCACTCTTTAGGTATAAATTTAGGCAGTCTGTTTCTGTCACAACTGGGGCAGTTCTGTTAAGTCCTGAATCAAAATTATCTTAATAGCCATGGGTGTGAGTTTTAAAATGGCATTTTAAATGGAAACAAGGTATCATACATGTAGTAGAAGATAACTGTTTCCAGATGTGTGCCCTTTTGTAAACTGCACCCCTACTGCTTCAATTCCCATTTCTTACAAAGAGACAGCCAAATGCTGGAGTTAGTGTTCTATCATGTTCTGACTCCTTCTCCACCCTCCACCTTAGCATAATTTATTTGTACACCCTGTTCCCTGGTTATGCTGATCACTAACCTCTGTGAGAGTTCCTGCCTCCAGTCAAAGATGAAAAATGAAGCTATACACAAGCTTTTCCAAGCCACACCCTACGGAGTTGACCCCTTGTACGAGTTGTTGGAAGAAAGCACAGCGTATCCTATTACACATATCCTGTGAAGACAGAAGCTGACATCCCTGCCTTTGTCATTCCGCTTCACATAAGAACACTGGAAATTCCCTAGAACCTCGAACAGCTTACTGGGAGTTTAGGAACCAAGCTTCTATCAACAGAAATGAATGCTTTAGGAATTGCCAAGGAATAGAAAAAACAACCAGAAAAAACAATTGCCACAGGGTAAATTCCTCCTTGTGAACCTATCATACTAGGTAGCACACCTTCCTGGGTTTCCAAGGCTCTGATTGGTTGTCATGGGAGCAGACTGCTCCATCTTTTTTCTCACAGTGCAGCTAGTGGATTTGAACAGCTGAATCCTCAGATAGCAGCTGAGCACTTAACCTCTGAACCACTAGGAATCCCTGTAATGGAATAGAGTGAAAGAAGACTCATATTTTTGGAGTGTCTCTGATGCATCCAGCACTTCACATACTTTTCCAAATTAAACATTTGTTGTTGTTTTTAGTTGTCCTTGAGTAGGACATGACTCATGTTGACTCTAAACAACAGAACGCACTGCTAACGATTCCTGAGTCATTCCAATAATCTGTTGTAGATCTGACCACTGCGATCCATTCTGGTTTTTAGAAGTAGATCAGCAGCCCTTCTTCCTAGTCTGTCTTAGTCTGGAAGTCATCTGAAACCTCTATAGTACCGTAAGAGCACCCAAGCCTCCACTGACAGGTACATGAGGGTTGAGCATGAGGTATAATGGCCAGGGATTGGACCCTGCTCTCCAACATGGGAGGTGGGAATTCTATCACTGGACCACCATTGCCTTCATAAACAACAGGTACTAGAGGTTTTGTTAGTTCTGCTTTACAATAAAAACCAAACTCACGGCCAAAGAGTCATTTTCAATTCATAGTGTACCCATAGGACAGAGCAAAATTGACCCTTGTGGTTTCTGAGACTGGAATTCTTTACAGGAGTAGAAAGCCTCATCTTTCTCCAGGCATGTGGCTGATGGTTTCAAACTTTTGACCTGGAGTTTAGCAGCACAATGCCTAACCACGACACCACCCATGCTCCTTTTTCACTTACAATAGTTCAAATTAAGATGAAGAAAACTATGCGGAACATAATAAGCTTTTACCATCATATATATTTTATAAATAAGGAACCTAAAATCCAAGGATATATAAATAACTTGTCCAAGTTTACACTTAGTAATTAGTATACTTGTTACTAGAAACTAGACCTGCTTATATGATAGTGTAAAATTCTTTCACTATAGTTCAAGTGAAATTTCCATCTTAGATTGGCTGAGCTACCCAGGAAATAAGACCTTTCACTGTGAGTGCCAATTTTCTCTTCTCCATCAATGGGGGGGCGGGGGGCAGGTGGGAGAAAGGAAAAGAAACACACTTCATTACTAAGACATAAATCATTAAAGACTGAATGTCCCTCCAATAAAATATTGTCATAATTTGATTCCATTATGCCACTAATATTCTGGAGGACTTCATAGAGCTAAAGGGTATAGAGATAAGGTACATTTCATCTGAGGCCGCTTTTTTATGAGCAAATCACAGAACTTCAGAGCTGAAGGGACAATAGAAAGCATTTGTTTCAATCTCACATCACAGATGACAAAACTGACCACCTGAGTTGGATATGAATATCTCAAGGATTAGTAACTCCAAAGTGTAAGATTATTATAACAAAGAACCATGTGTCTGACAATCTCACTCTGACACCATTAAGTTCAAAAGTACACAAAAGGTAATTTTTAATAAAGTTCTATTTACTAATCAGATACCGGAAGGTAAAAAGAAACACGAGATTTGTTCTTCACTGGGAGGTGGGAAGGGGAAGAGTTTGCTTTAATTTTATACACAGTCTCATGGTTATATGCCAAACGTGCATGATAGAGAAAGCAACACATCCTCTACTGCAATTATGCCCTTACTCTGCCAGTCCTGGTAGCTCAGTAGAAGATACGTCTGTGTACACTCAGCTTCAGTGTTCAGATGTATATAGATGTGGCACACAGATTATCAAGTGTGTGCAGCACACAATTACTATAAACAATAAAAGCATTTCCTTCTCTCCAAATTCCACAATTCACTGAGACATATCCTCAGCTCTTGCTATTCTCAAGAGCCCTGTTCTCTCTCTCTCTGGACTCAGGGAGTCAGCGTACCTGCTTGCTGAGGTCCTTCCAGGCGTCGGGTTACCGTAGACGCGTGAGAATGTAGGCTTAGGGTGGTGCCCCCATCATCATCTAGCATGTCCCTTGTGCTGCTGTACTTGGCATGCATCTGGAAGCTGGCAGGGCTAAGACAGAGTTGTGGCCGTGTGGGTATTGTGAGAGCGTCTAGGAGCCCCGGCACTGAAAGACATTCCCAAAGTTTGCCTCTCCTGAAAGTAGCAGGGGAATCTCTGGCTCAAGTTCCTGCCCGCTGAGACCCAGCCCCTTTCCAGTGAGCTCATACTCTGAATGCCAAATTGGTCTGGCTGAGGGGAAGTAGCAAGTGTTTTCATGAATACTGTCTCTGAGATGTGTGTGGGCATGGCAGTGAGCTCTTTCCCACTTTCATCCTTTCAATTAGCAGATGAGCACACAGCCCAATGCTACCAGGACTCCTTCACATTATATCCACTGCCATCTAGTTCATGCTAACTCGTGGCAACTCTCTATAGGGCAGACGAGAAATACTCCCTGGTTTCTCAGACTGTACGTCTTTACAGGAGCAGAAAGCCTCATTGGTCACCCTTGGAGCAGCTGGTGGGTTTGAAATGCTGATCTTTGGGTTAGCAGCCTACTGCCTAGCTTACAGTACCATCAGGGCTCCTTTCACATGATAGCAACCCCAAACCCAAACTCACTGCCATTGAGTCGATGCCAATCCATATCAATCCCCTGCGGGTCACTTTGTACAGGAACCTATTAATCAGAAATGTGCAGACATACTTTCTGAGATGTTGACTTGAGAAAAAGAGGCCAGCCTTGCAGTTTACTAATGATAGTCATGATCTTATAGAACACAACAACATCACTCTGGTTATAACCAAGTTTATTTTTCCCCATTTCTTCATTTAGCTAGTCAGAAATAGTCTGCATTCCACCTATGTATGAGATGCTACTTGAAGTTGTAGCGCAACACTGAAGCAGTGTCTAACATAGAGCTGTGTCTTTGAGGACAAGAAATGACTCTGATAGAGCCAGACATTATGATTCCCTTGAAACACAAAGGATGTATGGTTTTTCCCCAGTAAATACAAAATCAGTGATATAATAGAAATTCAAGCTCAATTGCTGTGGTAGTTACATAATTTCATGTCAACTTGAGGACATTAAGAGTGAAGGGGTAGAGTTTAGCCTGTCAATCAGATGATGATGCCTTCTCCTGTGGATTCTGGGAGTTTCCTCTCTTACACCCGGGAGACAGGACACACACTCATTCTGCTATATATTCCTATTGACAAGCTACATGGAACCACACTGATGGCAGCCAGCGCTCTGGAAATGCTTCTACCATGACTGGATCCACAAGACTTTTCACCCACCAGCCTGTGATCTTCCTGCATTGGGCATCATTGCACGTGCTGTGTGAATCCAAAGAGGAATTTATGGACTAGTATCAGACATATGAGTAATATCAGACTTATGAACTTGATCTGGACTGGGCTGGGATGTTTTCTCAATACACAATTGCTCTTTTATATAAAGCCCTGTCTTACATACATGTGTCTCTGGATTCCTTTCTCTAGTCACCCCAGTCTAACACAGTTGTCCTGATTCCATACTTAAGGTTCTACACGTAGTACATAAAACTGATCAATACAGGCTACATTGTGTACATGACACAATGTCAATTCCAAGAAGACAGTATTTCCTACTTGAGTGATTTGTGTACTTTATACAGCTTACAAAAAACAAGTACTCAGTATTCAAATAAAAATCTAATCTATCTCCAAATGAGTTCAAATAGTCAACCAAAAAGATAAGCTACAGTTGCCAACAAGAGTTCACAGTTAAATTCCAAAAGAACTTTAAAAGAGTCAATGCTTTCTGAGACAAGAGTCTGACAAAACAGTAGGCCCTCTACAGAAATGAGAAAACCTTACTCGAAAATCAAATTAAGACCAGGGGAGGGGAGCATCTACATTCCAGTGGAGGCACTGATATTTCTGTTGGTGGGTATGGTAAATGGGGAGGAGCAACTTTACATATGGAAGGGATGCTAAACAATAACTGTAGGGAACCTAAGGTAAGAATAAACCTGGTTCTATCATCCTAGGTAGGCAGCACTTCCAATACATTTCCACCCAACTCTCCATGGTGTGAGCTGCACCAGGGACTAAGCACTATGATGCCCATAGACACTGGCTATACAAGGAATATGACAGCCCCCAAGGCTACACCAGATGGCCACAACTTGGAAGCCCAACTGAACAAACTGGGTCTTATGTCAAAACTACCTGAACTCTTGGATTTAGGATTAAAATACTCTGATGGGTGAGGACGCAAAGGATGGCCACCCCAAGACTGTAGAAATGTCGGTCGTTGGGCCTTGGGTGGGACCCATGCCTTAGTTAGAGTCCAATCAAAGGAGACCCAGAGCCACCATATATTTAGTACCACAATGCTTCCCTTGCATTAATATGACAGGTTTTCATCTGATAGGCTAGGATCTTCACTTGTAAGAAATGATATAGGAAAATTTCCCCCAGCCCCAACCCCCATTATCAATGTAAACAGAGTTCAATCAATTAAGAAATCAATCTGAACAAAGCAAGAACTCATGGATTGCAGCTTGCAGTTGGACTATACTCACAAAGTACCTTAAATTCAATGCCATTGGATAAATTACTGATATTTTCAATTCAATTGCCATATACCCCAGGCAACTGATAGTTTTCCCTTTTTGCTTCTTTTGTTTATTTGCTTTCATTTGTTGTTGTTATTTATTTGTTTTTGTCATACGACCACGAAAGTAAATCAGGCATCCATAACCTGTAGACAAAGATATGGATTCTGGGTTTTCACATCATTCTAGCCCCAATCCCAGAACAGTTAGTTCTTATAACAAGGCCCTGATGGATATGCACCTTTATTAAGAGATCCCTGAAAATAAGGGTGTTTCAGCAAAGTGTGGTGAAGAAGATGGTGCCTGGCTACCCACTGGAATTGTGTCTGAAGTCTTAAAGACTTGTATTCAAACAGCCATCAAAGTGAGGGATCAAGTAAGTCAATATCGAAAAACCACACCAGCCTATAGGATACAAAAACGATGATAACGAAATCCCAATATGATGAAGGGGAAAGTATCAGAACTTAAATTGTGAGCACCCAATTTGTAGAAGGCTGTGGAGGACAGTGGGAGCCCAAAATCCATCTGCACACTCTCTAGTCAGACTCAGCCTCTGGCTGATCCCCTCTAGCCACAGGCGAGGGACTCAAACAGCTATGCTATCAGACAGAGATGACTGTAAACTTGGTCATAGTGGATTGAACCATGGTATAATATAATACTTGGTTAGTTGACCTCCCTCTTCACCTAACCGGAATTTGTTCTAGGCTGAAAGATTTCTCACTTGTTCCATGACAGGTATTTCTTCTCTGGCTTTAAAAATATTATTAGTGGTCTTTTCTTTTACTCTTTATTTTTATCTTTATATAATTATTTACCTCTTTCTTTTTCCTTTTTTGTTTGTTTTTATTGTTTCTGTTACGTTTCCCAGTTTATGAAGCACAGAAAGAGTACATGCATAGAGACAATAAGTAATGCAATGGTTTATCAGAAAGAGGGGCATGGTTGGTGGAGAGGGGGAGGAGAACTGAGGGCAAACAATGAAAGCAGGAGGAAGAAGGGAGCATTCAAACTGATTATGATGATGCATATACAACTCTTGTAAAAGTGATTTAACTAGAGAAGTGTATGATATGTGAACATTATATCAAGAAAACTACTGGGGAAAAAAGAAAGAAAGAAAACAAACTTGACCTATGGTTACCATAGGTAGGAGGGCGAGTTTTTGCATAGTGGGCCTTGAGTTCATTTTAATTGTGGAACAATTTGGAGAAGGATATCAACGATGATTGTACAACATGAAGAGTACCATCAATGGCATTGAATTATCATGTAGAAGTTTTAAAATTGGAGATTGTTTTGTGGGGTATATCTTTGCCACAAATAAAAAAAAATTACATAAATAACAATGAGTCCAAAGAAGAAAATGTTCTAAAATTGATTATAGTAATGATTGTACAACTCTTCTTGATTATGATTGAACTACTTAATTGTATGATAGGTGGATGAAGTGCCAATAAACTGTTAAAAATATATGAAAAAAATGAATCACTCTTTCTTTTTCCTCCTTTTTTAGTATTACAGCATTAAAAGCCATTGCATAATTAATGACTGAGCCATAATTTTGTCCTAGCATATTTTCTAGGGCAGCAAAGAGTTTGCATTTAAAGTCCTAAGGAATCAAGGCTTAGGATATACCGAGCTTCCGTTCAAGGATGATGAGAAATTTTGGAAACAGTTAATGATGATGGTTGAATGATTTGATGAACATGCCTAATGTCACTGGACTGTACAGGTAGAGATGGTAGAAAAGGAAAACGTTTAATCCTGGGACCATATTGGGGAACATATAGGGCTGCTAACCACAAGGCAGTGGGTTCAAATCCACCATCTGATCAGTGGGAGACAGATGAGGCGTCGTACTCCTATAAAAATGTATATCCTTAGAAACTCCCAGAGGTAGTTCTACTCTGCTCTATAAGACCGCTGTGAGTCAGAATTGACTTGATGGCAGTGAAGTGTAGTTTGGATTTTTGTTTATTTTCCACAGTTTTAAAAATGAATCCAAGAGGGGGGGAAAAAACCTGGTTGGACACTACAGAAATCACAGCTTCTCCGTCCTGTTTCTCAGCTAAGAAAACAAAGTGGTTGGAGCGGCGCGTGATGACACCACTCAAAATTTCAGCATTTATTTTGACTTCAGTTTTCTGTTGTATTTTGTTTTATTTTGAAATCTCTCCCACAGTTTCTCACTGCTTCTCCATTCTCTCCTCCATTAGTTTTCCAGTTCTTTCTCGCAGATACTGTATGAGGAGACATTACAGAGTTGATCATAAATGAGTGCCTGATGAACCCACGCACAAATGGGGAACACATTCTTGTTCGTAACTGTATTGGGTACTTGGAACCTGTTAAAATAAAACACAAAAGGCAATTAGAAAATGCATGGGAATACTCTTGATCTGATGCCAAAATAAATTAAGATTAATGAGAAACTATCTGCGGTGGCTGTGTTGTTGGTAAACAACTCTTGAGTTTAGATTGCATTGGTTCATAAGCAGAAAGAGAATAGTCTCCACATTAAGGCAGAAAATAATTGTGTTTCAAGGATGGTTGCTAGTAGGATAAAGTAAGTAAAACTTCTGACACAAAAGAGAAGCCGTTACATATCTACTTAACTGGATGTTTATAAAATCAAGGCACAGATTTATGGAATTATTATTGGGTTGACTTAGTGAGTAGACCAAGCAGCAAGAGGTAAATTTTGAAAGGGATCTGGGGTTAAAGAAAAATTCATAGGTGTCAGGGCCACGTAAAGGAAAGACAAACAACGTTGTATACTATAACTCACCACCAGCGACCCGATATGATAGAGTAGAATTACCCTGTGGATTTATGAGACAATGACTCTTTGGGAGAACAGAAAACTTTATTTTTCTCCTCTAGAGTGCCTGTGGTTTCAAACTACTGACCTTGTGGTTAGCAACCCAATGCTTAACTCACTATGCTACCAGGGCTTTGGAGTGCTGCATGGGGTTGCTCTGTCAGAAACGACTTAATAACGGTGGATTTGGATTTCGTTTAGCCCAAACACAGTGAATTTATTAACTGTGAATGTGGATATGGGTATAGACATGAATGGATCCGATTTGTACCACTTACTTGTCTTGAGTTTGATTTGATTTTGTCATTTTTAAACATATGACTAGAGGACTCTGTATAGGCTCACAAGAGTGATCCAAAATTATCACTTTGATATGTTTTAACTCTTTGGTTTTTTGGATGGCAGTAGGTTTAGTCTGGCTCTCCATATCCAAATGAAATTGGTGGTCAAGAAGTATTTGTGGAGACCTTACCAGAGCTCTCCCTGTGGCCTGTATCAAAACTTGTTTCATGCCTTAGTCTAGTCATTTATACAATAGATGCCCTCATTCCTCTGACCTCAGAGACTCTTGAGGGTTGTAGAAAGCCTCATCTTTCTCCTGAAGAGTAGCAGGTTGTTTTGAACTGCTGGCCTTGTTAGCAGCCCAAGGCGTAGCCTACTATGTTGCCAGAGTTTCACCTAATGTAGACTACAAAATAATAGTACACCTTTCAAAAGTTGGACCCCAAAGGACTTTTTGGTCCAGAAGTAAATGAGAAATGAAACAGAACATCATAAAGAAAATATGTATGTTGACATCTTACCACAAGGTGGCGGGTGGGAGAGAAAAAATACATTCCCTGAGAATTTGAACCACTAATATATTCAGTTTTCTCTAATAAATAACATCGATGTAGTGGAGGTGTATGTGTGTGTATGTGTGTGGGGGGGGGGGCTTCAAAAAGAATATGTAATTTAAGGTGTTTTGGGGTTTGTTATGCCCCTAGTTGATCGGAGAAGCAAACACTCATACTTTTCCCCCCTTCATTTTATTGAATTTGTGGTGGAAAATATACACTGCAAAACACACCGATTCAACAGAAGCTACATGTAAAACGTGGTCACACTGATGACAGTCTCTGGTTCTGTCACATTCCTGCCCTCCTTTTCCAAAGCTCCCCTCCTTCATTCATGCAGGCTCAAGGGCCTCTGAGGTTTTTAGCTAATCTTTTGGTTTGATGTTGTCAATTTGATGCCCTATAAGAAGTTCTTAGAAAACTATCATTTTAATTCTTTTTAAGACAGCTTAGCTTCCATCCAGACGACATCAATTACAAGACATATCCCAATTTTAGGGCTATAAGCATATGAAAATTTTGTGAATTCAAATTAAAATACACAATAACAATCGCCCATACATTAGGGGATGTGAATTGCGAACAGCGCATAAAAATATAAAAATCCAATCTGTATTAGTTTGCATTGATTTTAGAACACATTTAATCGCTAGTATACCAACTAAAAAAGTTAACAACAAAAACTAATAGAAGAAAAGATAAAATAATTAAAATATTAAATCAAGATAAATAGGGAAAAAGTAAATTAAGTGGGCCATACATCAGCAAGAGATAATAATGCTACATGCCTAAGGAAATGACTCAGAACATTCATAAAATACATGTCCTAAGCTATAATTTGAAACTTTAAAATACACAAACACATGAAAGATCTTAATGCCATTCTGTCATTGCATGAAAAAATAGCTAAAAACCAAAAAATTGCAATCATGTAGAATATGTTCTCTGACCAAAATGAAATTAAACCTGAAACCTAAAACAAAGGAATTCCTAGAAACATCCCTGTTTGTTAGTTAAGAAATCTATTTCTATAAATTCCATTGGGGCAAAGAGTGATTTACAATAGAAACTAGAAAATATTTTTAACCTAGTGAAAACATTAAAACAATAAATTTAGGTGCATATTCTCAATAAAAAGGACGAGAGAAATTCATGAGCAAAGATATATTAGAAACTAGAAAAAGACTAACAAATTTCATCCAAAGATTTCATACAATAGTAATGAGAGCTAAAATTAGTGGAAGCGATTCTAGAAAGTAGACCAAGAATAAATTTCTTTGAGAACACTACTTGAATTTAAAAGCGCCATAACATTGAAATCTAGAGGAAAAAACAGGAACACTGGGTGTGCACACACATGCAAAGCCATACATGCAATTAATAATTGGAACTTAAAAAGGAAATGTTGCTTCACACTATTCAGATACTTAACAGAAAGTGTATGAACATTACAGGGAGGAAGACTTCCACACTCTACAAAGAGAATTTTGTAATGATGCAACTATTAACTGATATTAAAGGGATTTTGCACAAAGTGAAATGTGTTGGCTTTTGAAATGAACAATAATAGCACATCAAGCCATTATGATGTGCCAGGCCATGTGTTCTGTGATCTCCCTTTTCTCACAATTTTAAGAAGTAGTTCCTCTTTTTATTGTCCTCAACATACATGGAAAGTGAGGATCAGATGTGTTAAGGAGTTGGCTCAATAGCACACCATTGTGGAGTAGTCCAGCATTGGTCCAACCTCACACCGGACTTCAAACCCCATGCTCTTAACCCTGGTACACGGAGCAGCAGGGACTGCTCCTTTATTGGACAAATTCCCCTATAAGCTAAAGCCCTGCGAGGAAGAAAGCTAATGGAACCAAATGGCACCAATCAATCCTTTTGAGTCCACCCACTTTTCTTTCTTTCTTTTTCTTTTTTTCTCTCCACAGGCCCCCAACTCTTTTGTCTCTGTTTCTCCTTTTTACCCTCAAGGTCAGCCATTGGAAACCACCAGCAGCTATGAGAGTTTGCATAGGGTCTCTATGTATTGATAGCTACTCTGTGACAATGAGCTTATTTTTTGTTGTTGTTTGTTTTTCAGTTTCTCCCTGACCCCATCTTTCTCATACATGACCAACAAATCAGTCTTGAACTGCTCCATACACTTTGTCCCCCCTGAGGAAAAAAAAAATGAAGCATTGTCCCTTGATACTTACACGTTAGAGAATGCTGAGCCATCTTCCCAGAGCCAACCTCTCTCAGCCTGAGGACGAGAAAGTCCTATCCAAAATGAATGATAAGGTTGCAAAGATGTTTGACTTGTTATAAAGTCCTGTAGGAAAATACAAATTAAAACTCAGAGACCTATATCAAGAAAAAAGGGGAAAAAAGGATAAAAGAAAGAGAGACTCAATCTACACATTGAGAGAAAAAAACACTCATTGAGTCTTTTTGGTAGAAAACCACACAGTAAATTGGTATCACTCTCGAGAGAAGTGCAATTCTTGGATGTTATTGAGCATCTGAAAGGCATATTTCACTTCTTACGCATTGATTATTTAATTTTTCAAGGTAGACTAAGTTGAGGAAGTCAAGATTGTACTACCTCCATTCAACTTACCTGACAAAATCCAAGACCCCCTGTGAAATTTCCACATCCTCCCTTCAAACTGAACAGATCGATTCCCACTATGTCTGCCAAGAAACAGGTCTCAACAGGTAACAACTCAACACAATTTAGTTCTGTTCTTGAGACTGTGCCTTGAAAACAATCCAGGGCTCAGTGAGGGTATTTCATTTGTTGACAAACATAGGACAACTTAGTAGCAATTACAAACTGGTTTAAATGCCACACTGACTTTCGGTCCAATGTACTTTCTTTGTCATATTAATTACTTTTATTCAATTTAATGTGCACTACAACTCTTTGGTAAGAGAGGCCATTGACAGTAGTTGAAAGACATATGGAAGCTATAGAATGACTTAGATTTATAGTGTGGAATTCTTTCTCCTCCTTTGTATCTACCCTTAATTCATATCATTCACTGTAAAGTCTAACTTTGTCTGTACAACTTTTTATGCTCCCAAAACCTCTCTCTGAAATACTGTGGCATCTGTTGTCAATAACCTATTGCCACCAAGTCAATTCCAACTCATAGTAATCCACTATAGGGTTTCCAAGGCTGTAAATCCATGGGAGAAAGATTGCCTCATCTTTCTTCCGTGGAGTGGCTGATGAGTTTGAACCACTGACTTTACAGTTAGCAGTCAAATATTTGCTCAATAGCATCACCAGAGTTGCCTGTTATCAATGTTACATATTAATGTGTTGGGATATGTTGCATGATTTCTTTATTTTTATAAATTACATAAGCATAGTAATGGCAAGATTGTATTTTAACCATCTTTGCTGGTACGGCATTGTTTTTCAAAAATTATGATAAGGGAGAGAATTTTGTCTTACTCCACCAAATTTATGAATTGAAATCTAAAGTCACAACATTATCAGTTGTCTGAAAAACAGAAATGTGTTTCATAGAAATGTGGAATGTGTTTAAAAGTATTGTAAGTGAATGTTTTTCATTTAACTTATTCAAAATAAAAGGGTAAGTCCAATGGGGATGCTACAGAATTAAAGAAACATTTATTTTTTAAAATATCAAAATGTGAAGCTATGTCTTCTCAACATAACCTCCAAATGGGGAACGGTCTACACTTTTCTGAAAAAGGTGTTTGCAGCTCTCTATCCCTTGCCTGAAGAATTCTTCACTCTTTGGTTTCCACCACATCAAAATGAGTTTTGGCATCCTTGAGAGATTCGAATTGTGTTCTTTTACAATGTTCTTGGGGGTTGGGGAACAAAAAGGAATCTGAGGGGACAAGGATTGATGGGAGTAAGCCTCTCAACGACATTCTTGTAGGGTAGTCCTTGCTGCCCTCAACGATTGAGCAAGTACATTGTTGAGATAGAAAATTGTCTTTGTCAAAACATAGCTGAACTTTTTCTCCAATGTAGTTTTCTTTTCTTTAAAAACAAAACAAAACATTTTATTGAGGGCTCTTCCAGCTCTTATCACAATCCATCGATCCATTGTGTCAAGCACATTTGTACATATGTTGCATTATGATTTTCAAGACATTTTCTTTCTACTTGAGCCCTTAGTATCAGCTACTCATTTGCCCCCTTCCTTCCCCACCCACCCTCCCTCATGAACCCTTGATAATTTATCATTTTTTTCATATCTTACACTGACCACTGTCTCCCTTTGCCCACTTTTCTGTTGTTCATCTCCCTGCGTGTTGGGTGTGTGTGTTATATGTCGATCATTGTGACAAGTTCCCCCTTTCTCTCCTACCTTCACCCTACACTCCTGGTATCACTACTCTTATTATCGGTCCTGATGGGTTTATCTATCCTGGATTCTCTGTTTTGTGAGCTCTTATTTGTACCCGTGTACATGCTTTGGTCTAGTCGGATTTGTAAGGTAGAATTGGGATCATGATAGCAGTGGGGAGGAAGCATTAAAGAACTAGAGGAAAGTTGTATGTTTTTTAAGTGCTATAATGCACCCTGACTGGCTTGTCTCTTCCTTGTGACCTTTCTGTGAGGGGATATCCAATTATCTACAGATGGGTTTGGGGTTTCTACTCTGCCCTCATTCAAAATGATATGACTTTTTGTTCATTGATGCCTGATACCTAATTCCACCGACACCTCATGATCACACAGACTGGCATGCTTCTTCCATGTGGGCTTTGTTGCCTCTCAGCTAGATGGCTTATTTTTTATCTTCAAGCCTTTAAGACCCCACATGTTATATCTTTTGATAGCCGAGCACCACCAGCTTTCTTCACCACATTTGCTCATGCAACCACTTTGTTTTCAGAGATTGTGTCGGGAAGGTGAGCATCACAGAATGCTGGTTTATTAGAACAAAGCGTTCTTGTGTTGAGGGAGTACTTCAGTAAAAGCCCAATGTCTATCTGCTATGTAAATACTTAACATATAAATATATGTACATAGAGCTATTACTCTATCATTATATAAAAATATATTTACATATGTGTATGCCTGTATTTAGACCTCTATAAATGTCCTTTGCCTCCTACTTCTTTCCTCTATTTCCTTTTACTTTCCTCTTGTCACACTGTCATGTTCAACCTTCACTTGGCTTTCATTAATTCCTCTTGGTTACATTGCACTTGATCAAGTTTTCCATCTTCATACAATTTCAACCTAAATAAATCTTAAAGAAAACACACACACACACACACACACACTGCCTTTGAGTCAATGCCAACTCATAGTGACACTATAGGACAGGATAGAACTACTCCTGCAAGTTTCCAACACTGTAACTCTTTTCAGAAGTAGAAAGCCCAGTCTTTTTCCTTAGAAGCTGCTGGTAGTTTCAAACTCGTGTCCTTGAAGATTGCAGCTGAATTCGTAACTATTATGACACCAGGGCTCCTTATAATTAAGCTATCATGATCATTCTATTTCTGTTGGGAGAATCTACCAAGATTATCTCTTTAGATAATGACCTCTTGGCCCTGAATTTACCCCTCAGAAGACACTATCTTGAAATTTGATCTCTGGATATTATTGTTAAATCCAAAACTTGTCTCTGGTTATGATTAATTCCATAAAATATCCTTAATTAACTTTGATTTTGCTTAAAAGAATGACAAAAAGATTAACTTTTGAGCTAGCTAATCTTTATATAATGCTTCTGACACTCATCAAGCTGCTCACAGAGCCATGTTTAAACATCTAACAATACCTTTAGACTTGCTCTCCGATTATGAACTTGATGCTAATTACAGAGATGCTAAATATGACTGTAGCTGCCTGCACTGCAGTGAAATTACTTGTCTTGGCTTGTCTAACCATAGTCCTCTCAACTCCCACCAAATGGAACATGCAAATAGGGTGTGTGACATTCTAATGGAAGGCATTGGTCAGTTTAAAAGTGAGGTTTTAAAGTGAGAAATCTCAGAATCAAGAACAAAGGATCCTCTTGGCTGACAACAAAGAAGAAACACCAGCAGAGCCCAGAGGACATGCCTGCAGCAGAAGCCCTAAAACCTGGAGCACTGATACCATGAGACAGGGCAAGGAAGCCTTGTGACTGACACTCACAAGACAGAATGCTGGGCTTCGCAGCCCACAGAAGAAGTAAAGATCAGTCAGTGCCTTCAGGAAGGAGACTGGTGCCTGAGAAGGGCAAAGGACAAGGGGCTAAGCGGTTGCAAGGCTGAAGATCAAAGAGAGATATGCCTGCTGGAAAGACTGAGAAGATACACTTTCTGATCCCGACCTACGGGAACCTGATCATTGTTCTAATAAGCCCCCAGCATCACAAGTATTGTCTCTGAGTTCGGTGTGGCCATTGCCACAAAGTCTTGAGCCCAGTGGAGAAGGAGAATGCCATAGAGGAAGGATTGCTGTCGGATAAAATACAGAAGAATGGAGGGTGGAGGGATAGCTGACCTTTGTTTCATCAGAATCAGCACTGAGCCTATGTGGAGTCAGAATCTCTTTCTCCCTCCTGAGGCTGGAGGAGGTCTGATGGGCCCCCACTCCCGTGCCATTTCTTCACCACCTTCTAGTCTTGCCTCATTTTCCCGCTGCATGTAAACCACCTATAATTGTGATAGAAGCCTATACTTACCAATTCTCTTAGGTCATCTATCTTCAGAAGACTAGAGTGCTCCAGAGAGCATTTTTCTTTGCTCATATCCCAGGAATCTAGTGACAGTCTAAACAGATAACAACTCTTCTCATATAAAATCCACCTTGGGGGACAAGAGCTGGAAGTAACCCCTGTAAATGAAGTGCAAATATCATGAGACTCATATCATATTCCCTCATTCTCTCAGTGCAAGGACCATTAATATATTTCATGAGGATGCTTACTCGCGGAATAGACTTTTGTATATTCATTTTTACTTCAAATGACAGGAATATAGTTTTTCAGAAGAGACTATACCCAACCACTTTAATCATGTAAAACAAAAAATTAAATATGAGTTGAGTAATTGTAAATGGTGTTTCAGACAGCCAGGACTCCTCTCTTGCCTTGTCTTCTTCAAATTCATCCTAGGACTCTCTTTATCCATGTCTCTCTAATATGAATGCACTCTGACTGAGTCATTGAGGAATGCAAAGCCATGTGACTTATTTTATAAGTATTTGGTTCATTTCAAAAACACCATTTAAAATGAGAAAAACTTAAGAGCAAGTATTAACATTATAGAATAATCCTGCTCTTTTATTAGCTACTCTATAGAACAGTGAGGAGGGATGGGTTATGGATAGAAAACTAAAGTTAAATATTAAGTCACAGTCAATTGTAATGCAATTAAAAAGGAGTCCTATGTCTTGTGAGGTAAATCAATTAAATTGCATGACTAACTATAAAAACAAGTCCCTGTTTCTAAGAGCATAACTACTAGGTTTTTCTGCTTTGGAGGTTTCTAAATTAATATCTTATTTTGTGAAAATATTTCACCATTTCCATTCCCTCGTTCCCTCCTTTTTAAATAGAGTTTTTTAAAAATGATAGTTCTATTCTAACTGTACCACATTAAAATATTTCCCTAAACCGAAAAGGGCACATTTTGTTCATATGCATGAAAATAGAAAATCTTCCATAGAACTATAAGCTTAACAGGTGATAAATCAATTGTTATTTTAAGGGGGAAATAACTTTAAAGTATTCATTTATGTGCATAGGGGTATTTATGATACCATTTTATTGTCTATGTGGCAGTGTACTGCGATTATACGGTGAGAACTCCTAGAATGTTCAATAACTGGGTGTAAATGCCATCTACTTACCCCTCTGCCCCAGACCTTACCACCAAGAAGGAACCCGCTGGAATCAAAGATTCCATGAATGCTGTAACTCTGCCCTTGCCTCGGGTCCTGAGAGACTTGGTAGAGGTCACACTCTCTTCTAGGGATGATTTTGTGGGTTGGCTCTGGCTTGGGTTCCTTCTGGTTGGAAAGCTGGTGTTCTCCAACGGGTTTCTCCCTGAATTAGAGCTCCAGATAGCTACATGTGCCAACAGCAATAGTGGTGAAAGGGAGAGAGAGAGAGAGAGAAACAGTCATTCCACTATGGGTGAAAAGTAAAAACCCTTAATCCATATTTTTGTTTTGTGGGAACAGAAAGGATATATTATTGATGAATGATAGGTAGACAAGAAATTGCCCATGAGCAAGTGAGATATAAATAAGTAATTTCATAAAGAAGATGTGAGAATGGAGAGAAATGAAGCAGGTAGAAAAGAAAGATGAAGGCAATAGGAGTGGAATGGAAGAAAGCTGATGGGGAAGCACGATACACTTGAAATAGTCCTAACTCCTCTCTCGGCCTTCTGCTATTGATACGTGTGAGCTCATTGAGTGGCTATAATAGAATGCACCCCATAGACATTTGACAAATTCAGGAGCCTCTCCAAAGGCATAATGATCTTTTACCTAAACCAGAATTTTGGGGATATAAAATGTAGTGAAATATATTCACCTAGCATAAGTACACTCATATTTACGTAGTACATAATAACGGCCTCAGATAATTTCTAGTTCATCCAGAATGGGTTAGACTAAATATAAGGTATAAATGGGAACTTATAGCACTATCTCAATAAGGTTCAATATAAGGGTTAAATGAAAGTATGCAAACCAAAATCTTAAATAAGTGTCAGACACATAATAAATGCTCATTAAAAGTAGTTGTTGTTAATCTCCTCTGCCAATACTCACCCAGAATGCCCAGAACCACAGCTATCCCCAGTGTTATCAAGAATAATATCCCCAAGGTTACAGCAATGAAACACCAACGAGAAGATGAAGCACATTTTCCTGAGGAGCCAGAAAGAGAAGCAATTGAATGGAGAAATCAATGATGGACTGAGGGGCTCCTTAAATCTAAACGGTTAAAAAAAATGCCACTGTTTTCCAGATAACTTAATCATCTAGGATGAGTCCAATTAATCTCTCTAACTTTCGCATACCTCTCCAGGTCCTGGAAATGAGCATTGGTTATGAAGTAGTTTTAAGCACACAGCTGCCAACCCCCCAAAATGGGCAGTTAGTACGCATCAGCTGTTCTGGGAGAGAAAGCTGCATCAGCTGTTCTGGGAGAGAAAGCTGTGGCAGTCTGCTTCTGTAAAAAGTTAATCTTGGAAACCACATGGGCTCATTCTACTCTGTCTTATAGGGTCATTAGGCATCAGTAAACTTCAAACAGTGAGTTCTTTGGGGTTTTGGGTCTTGGCCATGTCATCTGAGCCCAGTGCTTTGATGGGTATGTAATCTTAATTTCCAGTCCACAGAGTTGTTAGCCAGGAATCCTGAAAGCATAGAGAAGGTAGTGTAATGTACAGGGAAGAGCCCTGGTGACTAAGGATGGTAAAATAAAAATGTGGAGGCAGCCCTTTCCATTTTTTGCTTGAGCCAATTACTTCTTCTGGGTTTTCAGTGTTATTTATGAAACATTTAAACAGGCATTCACAAAGGATTGTTACAGGGGATTGCTTTCAGCAAACACAAGCAAATGCACCTGCTTTAGGAATTACTAGCATATTGTATGCAACCCAGCATGTGCCCACAGATTCACGTTAACACACGCCTAGGCTTCCACCTCTTGCCTCACCCAGTTTTTCCCCTGTTCCTCAACAGGTTGCTCAAGAAAAGACTTACGCAAGTGACACGACCAAAATAGTTGTGAAACATAAGCTAGCTGAAAGCAGAAGAGAGCGAGTTCTGATGCCAAAACCTGCAAATAATGTGGTTTCTGATAGAATAGGGTACCCAGTTCATGTTGATATTGTCATATTTAGAACATACACCCCTCAGGCCCAAAGAATGATGCTGATGCCTAGCTACCACTGCCCGGTTCACAGTAGAAGGTGGTGCACAGACAGGGAGGGGGAAAATGTAGAACGCGGTTCAGAATCATAAAGACCGAACTCACTACTCTGATACTGAATGGTGGAACTCCCTTGACTCTGCTTCTTAGATTCCTTTCAAGCCTGGAACTGAATCTGTCCTTGGATCAACTTTTCAGCCAAAGAATAGACAAGCCTAGAAAGTATATGTACCACTAGAGAGCAATGTACTTCTCAATACAATCAACCATATACAAGCAAAAGAGCAACATTTGCCTAAAACAAAGTTCCAAAGGCAGGAAGGGGCAGGGAAGAAGGAAGTATGGCAATGGGGAACCCAGCGAGAAAGTGGGAAGCATGCTCTTTACAGTGCAGTGATTGCAACCAATGTCAGGAGACAAAATGTGTATGTTGTTGAATGGAAAACAAACAAATAAATATCAAAAACAAAATAAAGCATATCTCTACCTTTAGGTGAGAATAAGCAATAAGAACACTTTATAAAATTGTTAAGTAGGAAATTCATAGAGACAAAACAAACTGCAACCAAAAAAATCCACTGTCCACTGTCATCAAGTTGATTTCTGACTCAGAGTGATCCATTATAATGTTTCAGAGCCTATAAATCTTTACAGAAGCAAATAGCTTCATCTTTCTCTCAAGACCTGGCTGGTGGGTTCAAACCCACCAGCTTCATGGTTAGCATCCCAGGTTTTACCTGATAGCACAACCATGTGATTCACAGAGGAAGAAAAATGACTCATTCCACGACAAGAGAGGTCTTCCTAACATTTCTCTACATATTTTACTCTCCCTATATTTTATTAAAAATTAATGTCCTAGTAAAGGAATACTTTCCTCTGGCATATATTTTCTTTCTGCTACACCAAGAATTCCTTTTTGCTTAAAAATGACATGAATAAATATTGTTCAATCAACCACACACGGGAGAAATCATAACAAATCAGGAATATAGGCCCTTTGACTTCTAATATCAATTTTTACAACAAAATGACAAGTTAAATGCCTTCTTTTACTGGTTCTGTCTTTTCTTTGTTTGCTTTCTTATTTGCTACTTTTCTTCTATCTTTACATTTCCTCATTTCCTTGACCGCCATTCTGCAATCTACACTTTTCTATCTAACAAGAAATAATCTGAAATCCTTTCAATCACGTTTATCACTACATTTTTTTTTACAACTCTTCACTGCTCAAGTGCCTATTCCTATAGGACAAAGAAATGCTGAATATTTCCTCTAATCAGACATAATTTAAATACTCATGAATCAGTGACTAATAATTTGTCACTGAATCCTATTATCTGTAATTGCTATGAGAAAACGCTTAGTTCACATTCAAATTCTCTGCAGTGGCTTTGGAGAGTTTGACCTTGACAAGCATGTTACTAACAGCCGTACACATCACAAGTCTCAGATTTGCTTCACTTGATCGTGATGAGAGCAGTAAAATACAATTACCTTTCTCTGAGATTATAGGTTTCTGGGAGATGCCTCGAGAATGGAAGTCTAATCGAGTATATCCCTCCTCATCCAAATTGTCTGTATTAGAATGATATTCCATCGTCCTAATGAGTCCCTGGGCAGTCAGACTACTTGAGAGCTCACTCTTCTCTTCTGAGCCGACTGTCTCTGGCCAAAAGAGGATCTATGGGTTGTGTCATGTGGGACCAGCAATTACTGAGAGTTGTGGGTTGCGTCATGTGGGATCAACAATTACTGAGAGTTAGCAACACCAGTTTAAGTCGTCCAACCTAATGCTCAGAAGCAGGAAATGAAAACTGCAACGCTGTGGTAGTTTCCAATCTGCTCCTTTAGATCCTGTTTCTGAGACTTCCGATTCTAAGGAAATTATAAGGCAGCAGAATAGATAGATTGTTGCTTCAGACCTAACAAAATAAACATTTTTAAACCACACATTTATGTCCTATGCTGTTTCTATTAGTCTCACAGGTGATTTTACTATCATTCCATGATGTAGTATACGCAAACTAGTAAACTTGTTTGGTACCTTGATTTCACCATCACTGCATTATAACTACACATAAATTCATGTCTTTATTCAGGAAGCAGTGCTTGGATTCTACTATTTCAACTGGTAGAATTTGGGACTAGAGGAATTAATAATACCTGTGTAGGAATGCATTGCCTAATAAAGGAAATCTATTGATAAGTCTGAATTTCTGTAACAACACTAGGATTCAAATGTCTCTTGCAGTTGTCATGAAATTATAATACAAAACAGTAATTATTTGTTGACCAAATATGTGCTAGGTGCTGTGAAATGTATGTGGTTTCTTATTTAATCTGTTTTCAAAAGTGCTTATATTGGAGGCATTATTTAATTTTCAACTTTAAAAAAATGAGGCAGAGAAAAAAATTACTGTTCTCAAGTGTAAAAGTTAATAAAAGTAAAGTTTGAGACAATATCAAAGTCAAGTCTATTCTTGCTGAAAAAAAATCAGTGGTATTTTCTTTTTTTGCTACACCGCCTCCCTTGCTACTCTGTACATCTAGGTGGCAGTTAAGAGTCCATCGAGTCTCTAGGACTGAATTATCATCTAGAAGTATTTGATTGTTTGCTCTTCCAATTTCCTTAGTAATGATTAGATCGATGATAAAATGGAAAATACTAAAGCCATTTACCAAGCTTTAAAGTCAGCAGAAAGTAAGTGACCTTTTAACATGTATCAAAAGGGAAGCAAGTCACTGGAGAGGGAATACGTGGGCTCTCTCCTTTCTTAGTCATAATTTTCTAGAGAAACAGAACCACTAAGACATGACTAAGTTAGGTCAAGTGCACCCAAAGGATGACCAGCAATCTTTCTCTGACTGTCTGTCTGTCTGTCTGTCTCTCTCTCACACACACACACACACACACACACACAAACACACACCACACACACACCATGTGGACTGCGATCACACACACATGCACATACATACCCATCAATAGGACTGCCACCAGCCACACACTCACATGCATTCACAAACACACCGTGTGGATTCCTATCACAAACACACACCTAGAGTCATGTGTGTGCAGTGTGCAGGAGGATTGCCACCAGTCTCACACACACATACACTCCAGGAGAACTATGACCAGGCTCCCATACACACAAATGCACAAACTGTATAAGACTATCCCCATATGCCTGGACACACACACACAATATACAAATAATACACGTACACCCACAAGTGTATCTATGATAGGTACTATCGTCAACCTCACATGAATACGCACACATACCAGGAGAAATGCCAACACACACACGCACACACACACACACACACACACCAGAAAGACTGCTACTACATGCATACATACAAACATATACCCACCAAGAGAACTGCCACAAGCCACCCACATACACATGAACATACACATACCTGCCAGAATGTCACCACACACACACACACACACACACACACACACACACACACGTACCCACCAGGAGAACTTCCAACACATAGGTGTGTGCGGGTACTCACCAGGAAACACACACACATCGGGAAACAACACCATCCTCACACGCAAACACACATACCCACTGGGAAGAGGGCCACCGTCCTCTTGGTGTGTGCAGTAGCAGCCCTCCTGGTGGGCTCCTGTGTGTGGTGACAAGTCTCCCGGTGACTCTGTGTTTTGGGGGGTAGTCCTCCTGGTAGGTACTTGCATATGTGGCTGGTAGCAGTCTTCCTGCTGGGTCCATGTGTGTGTACGCTTGGGTCGTTAATTGTAGCTCTCCTGGCGTCCTTGTGTGTTTGTGTGGCTAGTGGCAGGCTTCTTGGTTCAAACATGCTTGTGAATGTGCATATCGCTGGTGGCAGTTTTTCTGGTGGGAACTTCTGTGTAGCTAGTGATAGTCCTCCTAGTGTGTATGTGGCGGCAGTCTTTCTGACAGGCGTGTGTATCAGGGGTGGGTGGGGTGGTGTCTAGATAGTGGTCATTCTCTTGTGTGTGTGTGTGTCTGCATGTGTGGCTGGTATGAAGCCTTCTGGTGGATTAGTGTGTACATGTGTGTTAACAGAGCATCTTCCAAAAGCCATCAATGGGGAAGGGCTGGCAGGACGCTGCTACAGCTGATGAGACACAAGCCTCAGGCTAGTTACCACCACCACGTTGCCTACAGAGTGCACAGTGGAACCCCCAGGGGGGTGATATCAGGCAGCTTTGAGAAGAGGGGGACCAACCTGGAGTCACAGCTCAGCAAAGCTGCTGCTGCTATTGGTGCAGCTGAAGATGACTTTGAATCTTTTGTCAATCCTCCTGTCCTGTTCCGTTAGCTTCCGGTCATTGTGAATCTTTGAGATTATTGCTTACAGAGCTTGATTACTTTGCCTGAGACTCATTCGTCTTTCAGGTCAGGTCCTCTCCTTAAACAAAGATGCTTTCCGAAGTGACCTCACACTTAAATAAAGCAGCTGGCCTGCTCTGGTGGGCTGTTGTGCGCAGCCCCGCACAAACGGGACTACAAAGCCCATGCTGCAGAGGCAGTAGCAGAGACAGGGAGAGACCTAGCTGCCTGGTACAGCACCTGGCTCTTCCACCAGCAGGCTCCCAGCCAACACCAGCATTCTAGAAGCCAGGGATCATTCTCAGCCTGAGGAGTTCAGGCCACAACTCCCACCAATCTCTCTCTCTGCAGATCTCCCAGGGTCCTCCGAGAGTCACAGGGTGGCTCTGTCCAGACTCCTCAGGAAGCACCAAGGTTCTATCTCTGGCAAGTCTCTAAGCCAACTAAGCCACTTGCTGGGTGGCCCAGGTGGCTGGGACAGGTGGAGAGAGGGAGCAGCTGCCATGGGAGCATGGCCAGAGGGCTTCACTTCTGTCTGCAGTCAGCCCTGATGGAGATGTGGCCAGTTGAACAGCACCAAATAAGAGGAGTTCCCAGGGGCAGATGTTGCAGAGTTCAAGAGGTGGCATCCAGAGGGATGGGCACTGGGAACACCCAGCAGTCACCACCTAGGAGCAAGGACCATGGCAAGCCTCACCACACTCAGGGGCAGGGCACGCTGGGGCTGCCAAGACCCCAAGGGTGTCACATACTCTAGCTGACTGCTGTCCCATCGTGCAGAGCAGGGGGCACCCCAGCATGTTCCAGCTGACCATAATCACCGTGGAAGAGTGCGGAGAAGACTCCCGTTTTTTAACGTACCCTCAGTCCAGGATCCCTCTGCTCAGACACTATGTTCCTAAGATCATGAATACTGACAAGGTCACAGGTTCAAAACCACCATCCGCTCCATAGGAGAGAGACAAGGCTTTCTGTTCCTATAAGGATTTACCACCTCAGAAGCCCACAGGAGCATGTTTACACTTTCCTTTAGGACAGCAGTTCTCAACCTGTGGGTCAAGATCCCTTTGGGAATTGAATGATCATTTCACAGTGGTTGCCCGATTCATAACAGAAGCAAAATGACAGTGATGGGGTAGCAACAAAAATAACCTTATGGTTGAGGGTCACCACCACATGAAGACCTATATTAAAAGGTCGCGGCATTAGGAAGGTTGGGAACCACTGCTTTAGGGTCACTAAGAGTCAGCATCAATTCAATGACAGAGAGGCTTTGGTGGGTTTTTTTTTTTCTTTTGTTAAAAATTTCTTTTAGATTTTCAAATTTTTCAGAGTGTAATTTTTTTATTTTAATAAATCATTTTATTGGGGGCTTTTATGGCTCTTATAACAATCCGTCCATACATTGTGTCAAGCACATCTGTACATATGTTGTCATCATCCTTTTCAAAACATTTTCTTTCTACTTGCGCCCTTGGCATCAACTCCTTTTTTGTCCCTCTCCCTCCTCTGCCCTCCCACCCTCGTGAACCCTTGATAAATTATAAATTATCATTATTTTCATATCTTACACCCTCCTGACAGGGAGGTTTTGAAGAACAGCTTATTGGTGATGGAAGGTGGTGGAAGATGTTAACAAAATGTGCAGACAATGATTGGCTATTGAAATGGAAAGGTGGAAAACAAAGAAAAGGATCTATAGTGTTATGGAAGAAATGCAGACCTCAAAGAAAAATCTCTTTTCTGGAGCCGCCTTTATTGATTCTTTTTTTTTAAATCATTTTATTGGGGGCTCATAGAATTCTTATCACAATCCATACATACATACATTGTGAAGCACATTT